GCCACCGCTTCCCGTTTCTTGATGTTGGGTCATTGCTCTCGACCCTCTTCTCGACCAACTCTCTTGTTCGTCTACAGAACAAGTTGAAATTTGTCTCATCGACTCATAAAAATTGTTTCCCACTCCGAATTAAGCCATTTAGTCCTCTACATATTTAGCTCTTTTTTGCTTGTTTACTTCAGAGTTCATGGTGACTGGCTCATAATGGACAGATTTGATAGTGAAATTTTGCCACACAAATTATTTGAGATTGTTGTTGTTGTTATCCATTTCTGGAATCATCTTTGCACACATATCTTCAACTCCTTCAAAGTAACTGATGGCTTTTCTTCCACCTACCGCAGCATATTTTCGGCTTTTTTCCATCGCTCTGAAAAGGTTAAAGACGACCAACCCATCTATGGGCAGTATTGTAGTTTCCAGGGACTTTCAGTCATCTCCACGTGACGCTGCTTCAATTACCCTTTTTCGATCTTGGATATTATACATCACAAAGTATACAGAGGTGTCACTTTTGACATTTAAAAAAGTCTAAAATCAGCTTTTGTTTGATTTTGAAATTGTTTGGTGAGAAGAGGTATATAAAATACAGCTAAAAAAATTATTGAATTCGTTTTGTGCGAAAGAGAGGGAAATAGTTTTTTGCTCGTGACGCCTCTGTATACCCTGTGTTATACATATTTGTTATATTTCTTTCGCTCTGTATGTATTTTGTTCCCCTAATTGGAACTAAACAATTGTTGTGAATTAAATTATTACTAGACATAATATAATAATGAATATGTGTAGCTGTCATTTAACACAAGGCTTCCTTGTGATATTATGCATTTTCTAACTTAATTTTATTTATAAATTTAAAAAAAAAAATCAAAAATACTTTAATATTAATATCAATTTGTATTTTCTCAATTTCAATTTCTATATTCTCAATATTAATTTGAATTTCTAAATTACAAATTAAGTATTCCCGATATAAATTTGCGATTTTTAATTTATATTTTCTTAATATGAAATAGAAATTCCTAAAAAAAATTAAATGTATTCATAAACAAAAGTTGACACAAAACTCATTTTTACAACAATGTTTGAAACTTAACAAGTGTTTTGAATTATAATGGAATTTTTTCATGCAACTTCATCAATGTTTGAAAAGGAAAAACGCTTTTAACTGTTCATGTATACTTATAAATAACAATAGACATCAAAAACAAACAAAAAACAGAAATGAAAACTAAAATTAAGGAAACTGAATATTAATCAAAATTATAAGAAATGAGAAAAACTAAAATCATATATTAAAGAAACTTGTATGTATTGTGTGCTAATTTAATTCCTCCTTAATTAACACAGACACACACACACGCCTACATACACCTGAACAATATTTGTAATTGTTTGTGTCTGAAATTAAAAAAAAAATAACTTTGTAGTTAATACAGGGATTGCAAACTAGTGTGTTCGACAGCAGTCAAATTTGGATTAGGAAGCGATATGTTCAACCAACCATATGGTACCGGGATAACTACAAATAGACACATTCATTACGAGGGTAATATGAAAAATCTTTAAAAACTGACATATTTTATAAAAAAAATTTTGTGGTAAATAAGAGTGAGATAAATCTAATACAATTTTAAAGAGCTCCAACTCTAAATCAGTTCAAAAGAACTCGGCTCCGGCTGGCAGTTGGAACAGCAAGTAACCGGACAAGCAACGACACGTGTACTCCAGAAATACTCCAGAATTGTTGTTATAGTACCAGTGAGATGGATGATTCATATACAGCAGCTTTGAACGGCATTCATAAAGACGCCATTAACTCTCGGTTGCTGGATATCACTTGAAGGTCGTAATTGGTAGTCGCCCACCGCCAATAGCAAACATAGAACAAGAGTAGTTCTGGCACAATTAGGGTCATAATGGAGCAACAGGCTTAATACCTACTAGTTCCGCAAAGAGCGCGACATCCCTAATGAATGTTCAGATTGTGATCAAAGTCCTTGTGATACCCGCCACATATTCAACTGCTCAATATGTAGAAGTAGAACACTTCTTTTGGAACTCAATGCAGATCCCGCGGTTTAGACAATTTATAGTTGTAGTAGTTACAACTATAATAACTACATCTGGATCTGGAAATGGAGCTCATTACTGACAGCTTAGGCTGTTTTCTGTAAAAGACAAACTGGAATAGTTTGGCCAATTATAATTGTGGTCGTTTTGATCATATCGTTGATGATAGCGTGGCCAGGGGAATATGAATATCCTTTCGGAATAGAGCATTCGAAAATAACGTAGAACAATAAAAATCAACAGTTGACAAATCTTGCAAAAAACTTCTGTAGCAGATAAACACCACAAAACTTTTTTTCTTGGACCAGCACTCAGGGAATGACCCCTACTTATGTATGTATCGAAAGAGGCGGTAAAATTTGTTTCAAAAGAATGTATAGACCACAAACAAGTTCTCTAATTTCAGGGGATCAAAATCCATTATAATATCGATAGAACAATGAAATACACTGTCACCAACAAGTTCCTTTGCCGTCTCCTGTACCCGTCGAGTAGATCCAAAATAAACTTCGATTCTCCGTTGCATTCCAATTTCAGTCGGATATACATACATAAGTGGTGTAATTAGTAAGGAGATCAGATGGTGTGAAGTATGTCTTATACCGCTTTTAAAAGCCAGCGAACATCTCACATCTGATTTCTTTATATTTACACCACCCAAAATCGACTCTGTCAAGTCGTGATTGAGCGATTCAACCATATGGGCGTCATTTCCCCAATCTCTAAAGATCTTGGTCTATAATTGAATGAATAAGAATGGCTAATATTTCTATCATCGGGAAAATAGTCGATAGAATTGGAAATTTGATATATAAGGACGTTTATGAAAACATTAAATAAGGAAACGGAAAGAACGCAGCCTTGTGGTACCCTTGAATTAATCTTAAACTCGTTTGATGTGTAAACTTTTAGTTTACAGAAGCCAGCAGGCAATTAGAATTGTTTTTTGGATCGTAAGAAAACTCTGAGTGAATGCTGTCCCACAGGTAAGGTTTACATCATATGGGTACCAGGCCATTCGTAAGTAGTCGGCAACGAAAGATCGAATGTAATAGCTTTAAAGGGAAGGGAGCTCGAGATTAACCTAACGAACGCAAAACCATTTCTCTTGGTATATTGAAACGGTGGATAGAACCACAAAGATCCTATGGTGTAACCCTCACGGGAGCAAAACGAGAAGCCTCCTTAAAATTCAAAGCGGCCGCACAGGATTACGGGCACACTTATACAAAAGAATGTAGAAAAGACAGTGAAACTCTGGAGCATTTTCTTTGCTATTGTCAGGCTTTCGCTGAAATTCGATCCAAATATGTTGGGAGTGATATTATTTCGGATATAAAATCCCTCACGAACTCTAATTGGAAAATTCTTAGAAATTACGTGCAGGAAACTGCAAACATCGGACGATAATACATTCAGTGAATACTATATAAGGTTTTTGTTTTTACCAACAAACATTTTCCAACAGGTCCAATAATGGCCTAGGTGTATTTCTTCGGATAAACCTAATCTAAGCTTGGAATTCAAGATTTAGGATATCTTTTAGCATTAGTTGCTAATACGTAAGTATATCCACGCAACTACTATTTCAACTTGAAGATACTACAAGGTGAATTCAAAACGTAGGAGTCCCGTCATTGAAAAATATTGAAAATATAGTATGTTGTTCTATAAATTTACTTTTGACATTATAATTTTAAAGACTGGCCTCGTTTGCCCACTAGTGTATATGTATGTAGTTAGTAGATAAATTTATTTTGTAATTTTAAAATACTTCTTTCTCATAGTTTTGTCGTATTATTAATTACTCGAATTTTGTATTTTTATGTTGGTTTTTCTTTATTCATATTAAAATTCAATACATAAACAAAATAATTGCTCTTATGTAACGGTTTTTTTCTTATTACAATTTTTAAGTAGCTCAACGAAAGCATACAATTTATGCATGTACGTGCAGATGTGTATGAAGTGTTTATTTGTAATGAAGTAACACGCGATCGATTCAGTTAAAGATGAAGCTTGAAACTAATTAAATCGGCACCATTAAACTTTAATTCACTGCTAAATTTACCTTGCACTTGAAAGAAAAAACAAATATGGAAAGAAGAGCAGCAAATTGAAAGAAAAACACTTTTGCTATTTTTGTGCTTCATTACAAGGTTTGTAATATTGTTTGATAATAAATTAAGCGAATGTTTTGTAAAAGTGAATTTATATCAGGGTTGATTTTCAATTTAGCACCAACAGCGATAAAAGGGAAAACTTATTAGAGTGTTGTTAACACTTTCCTGTTTTCGATTTCGAAAGACTTTTCTAAGTATTAATAAAGATATTAATCGTTTAGTTTAGGTTTATTACTCACATTTTCGATACAAAATTTTTGCATGGGGGTTTAAGTTTAAGTTTGACGTCACTGCAGTTGTGAAAGCTCATCTCTTGATGAACAGAACATACTACCAGATCCATAAACACCTTGTATGTTATGAGACCTATACTTTTAGCTATATTAAATCTTTATTTATTTAAAGTTAAAATTAATTGTCCAAACTTTAACGTTATTTTTAAAAAAGTACCAAAAAGTAGTAATTTTTTCGCCATTAAAACATTCCCATTTAAAGACTATACTTTTCTTTAATATATTTGTTTTACCGGGTTACACTCCGTCGACCAGAGTATATAGAGTTTGTTTTAAAAAAATCCAAAAAAATATATAAAAACAAAATGAAACACAATTTTTAACTAATTGTTCTACTTTTAAACCTTCATACATACAAGCTTCAAAGAAAAATAACACACATATAAAGTGCGAAAAAGAAAATAAAAAAAATAAAAAAATAAATACTAAAAATATTTAATGAAAATATTAAATAATAATGTTGCAATAGTTATAAATATTGAAGCATTTAAGCTGCATAATTCAGTTTACATTTAACACGAACAGCAAACGGATTATAACGGAATACGACGCCAAGTAAAGCGGAAGCAACTCATACACACACACCTTCAACAACAAAACTTCAAAAGGATAAAATTATGAAGTTACTGGTAAGATGGTTCCAAAATACAAACATGTGTTCGTGTATGTAAATAAATATAATTATTCATATATAATACACTATTTCCTCAAGGAAATTTAAAGGTGAAAAGAGAAATGTTGTATTTTAAAAATGTTATATGCAAATCAAATAAAAGTGTTGTGGAAAATCTAATTAAAGAAAATATTTTATTTAAATATCAAGATTTAAAGACTTTTATGTAAAAGCAAGGGGATTGCCGTGAAGGCTCTCTTCATAGACTATCAAACTATTTATGTATGTTTGTGTGATGTAGAAAATGAGAAATGTTAATAATCTCAAATTAAATGTGCGTTATGAGGCTTCGAACCAGTCTAAATATCGTCTAAACATGTAAAATGGTGTTTCATTGAGAAATTTGTTATTGTAATTTCTATTGTAATTAAAACATTAGGTTATTAAAGGTTCAGGGAATGTTCAGCAAGAAGACTCGGAGACCCCTGAATAATATAATTGAATAATATGATTCTTTCCTGTCTACAAGTACCAACCAAATTAAATTGATGCAGTTTTGGAAAGTCCAGATCAACGGTTCATAAATTTCATCTGTAACAACTATCCAGATAGTGCGCAGGAAACTATTATAATTAGACAATTTCTTAGCAACAGGAGTAAATCTAACATTTCGAATTGTTACATAGGTTATATATGGACATAGCAGTACTTCGGCACATTAATAAGTTTACAATCTTCCTTATCTTAAGAACCGATGTACAACACCTTTATTATGACTGAGTTAAGTTTATTCCCGCACTCATAAAACATAGTGACATTGAAGCTTATGTTACTACAACTAACCTGATGACAGATACCTTGGCTCTTGGCAGGCTCTAGCTGATAAATTCAAACGTAATATGTAATGCAGTTTATTTTCCAGCTGAGATATGACTTAGCCTGTCCAATTTCAGTTCAAAGGTCTGGTTCCTTTAAATGAAAACACAAATATTTAAAATGTGATGTGTAATTCGGAACAAAGATTTATTATGGAAACCTTAAACTACTTATAGTCTACTTAAGTGTTCGATGCTGTTCGAGAGTTGAGCGATGACTATTCGGGAGGTGATCGTTGAACGATGATTATTCGGGAGACGATCGGTGAATGATGATTATTCGGGAGGTGATCGTTGAACGATGTTTATTCGGGATCGTTGAATGATGTTTAGTGCCGGTTTGTTTTTATACGAATGAGAAGAATAACAAAACAAAACGAGTTTCCGAGTACGAGAAACTCCGTACTGCGAGAGAGATGAATGATATTTCTTTCCCTTTCTCTCTCACGCAAAATCAAAATTTTCCCAAAAATAGTTTCCTAGTGTGGACCGGCAGTTATTCGGGAAGTGATCGTTGAACAATGGTTATTCGGCAGGTGATCGTTGAACGATGATTATTCGGGAAGTGATCGTTGAACGATGATTATTCGGGAAGCGATCGTTGGATGTCTTTCGGCGGTGCTGATGGCGACAGCTGGACAACGGAAAGAAAGAAAAAGAAATTTTATCGCCGTTTTCTGGCGAGGTTTCTTCTTAATTTCAGTGTCTATTCATTCTACGATTAGTTGTTTAATTTGCGCAGCTACCACAGAAACTACACGAAGTCAGGAAGTATTCAAAGGCTCTTGAGTTCGATTAAGAATAAAATCGTAAATACTACTCAAAGTCAAGAAGAATTCGGAGGTTCTAATCGTAAATACAACACGAAGTCAAGAAGAATTCAGAGGTTCTTGAGTTCGACTAAGAATATAATCGCAAATACTATACGGAGTCAAGAAGAATTCGCAGGTTCTTTAGTTTGACTAAGAATACAATCGTAAGTACTACACGAAGTCATGAAGTATTCGGGGGTTCTTGATTTCGACTAAGAATACAATCGCAAATACTACACGAAGTCAAGAAGTATTCGGAGGTTCTTGATCTCGACCAAAATACAGCGATAAATACTACCCGAAGTCGAGAAGAATTCGGATGTTCTTGATTTCGACTAAGAATACAATCGGAAATACTACACGAGTTTGTTACGAATGTAAGAAGAATTCGATGGTTCTTACAATCACACTACTAGAGCAGGTATTGCGTTAGATTCGGGCGGTACTTCGGTAGCCAGAATCCAGTTTTGTGACGAAACTAGTTTTGTGACTTGTTTTATAGGTTGTTTAATGTGTAGTACTTGTTGTATAGATTGTTTAATGTATGATGGTTTTTCATACATTTATCTATTGTATGTATAGGGTTCTGTAACTGCCACGTTACAAGTGAGATCTTAAAAACTGCATTCGAAGAGTTCTTCTGGAATAGGTTCTTATTTCAGCGATGGCGAGACTGTGGGTCCCTCCGACAGGATAAAACAACACTAAAACTTATAACGTATAACAATAAGAGAATTGGAGCAAAAGACTGGACGATTAAAATGGTATGCACGAGGGACGAGGAAAGAAAGTCAAGATATTTTGCAAATGGTTCAATCAAGTTCGATACTGCAAAACAGTCTAGTCGTCCAACAAGTTCAATTTAGTGGCTTCAGGAATATGTAATATTTTCTAATCAGTTTTGGTCAGTTTCTTCGGAACCTGAACCAAGTCCATAAATTGCAATTATGTTTCTAAGAAATAGAAACGACATGTTGATTTCATAGGAAGAAATACATCTAGACCACTATCGGGCCTATTCATGGAATATGGTTGTTAGTAAAAACAATAACCTTATATAGTATTATCGTCCGATGTCCAGAAACTCAATATCCTGGCCGTAATTCGTGAGAAATGTTATATCCGAAATAATATCACTCCCGAAATGTTTGGATATTATTTCGGCGAAAGCCTTACAATGACCAAAAAAGTGCTCCAGTGTTTCACTATCCTCTCTACATGCACTACATCCGCCTGAATGCGCACGTCCAATTCTGTATAGGAGTGTCCGCATGCTAACTTTAGACTTGCTCATTTTGAAGAAGCTTCTAGTCATGGTCTCGTTGGGGACACTCCATAGAATATTTGTGGTTCTACCCACCGTTTCATTATTCCAAGAAGCCTTATGGGCTTCTCTCGTTGCATTAAATAGGTTAGCTATCTCGAACTCTCTTCCCTTTAAAGCTATAACATTCGCTATTTCATTGCTGACTACTCCCGAGGGTTCTACTCACCTCTGGGAGAGTAATCGGTTACAGCTTGTTTACAATACAATTCGGTATTAGATTCAACCTTATCATCTGATATCTCCCTAATTGACTTCTAGCTGTCGATAAATATATTAAGTCATATAGGCTCCATATTTATTCTAATAACGTCTTCCGTTATTGCTCGGACTTCTGACTGAAAGCTAGTGTTGGGATTACGTAAAAGTGGTATGTTTCTGGTTCCTTAATATAGAAGCCCAGGCCCTGAGATAACTGTTTCAAAGTTTCCGACATATTCTGTGTTTGGTATGTGATCGAAAACGTCCGATGATTGTGAATTTAATTTCTATTTGTCCAGTATACGTTGATGACGTGAGATGCAGTTAGCAATAGTACATTTATTTTTAAGATAAATAAACAAAAATATTTAACTTTTACTTAAAATGTAGGTTCAAACTAAGTTTAATAACATAGTAAATTTCTATTAATTTATTGAAAGTAGTAAAAGGAAAACAAGAAAAGTTAAAATTTCACGCAAATCATTCAATCAAAAGTAGGCTCAACAACAAAACCAATACAGAAATGGAAAACTAAAATAAATTTTAGAAAGTAAACATATTTTGTATTCCAATCTTACAAAAAAAACGTATTAAATAAACAAAACTTATATTAACTTTCTATGGATTTTAAGATGTTCCTCTTCGAAATAAAGATAAGTGAGCTGACTAGAAACTAGTCCAATGGCTAGCTTTAGCGCTTTATTATAATTTAGGTCTCAATATCAAAAATATTATTTAATGTTTGGCTCAGCTTCATTTCTCTCTCTTTTACAGCAAATCGGTCTACCGGTGCTATTGATTTTGCTACTCTTCGCCGACAATACGCTTGCCAAAAGGCGAAGGAACGATAATTCGAATACTGAAGAGAATGAATACGATGTTCATCATCACAATTATGACGAGCAAGAAATTTATACATCTAGTAAAGATTTAAATGCCCAAGAATCTGGCAAGATAGAGGTTAAGGTTCATCCTGACTCAAATGCCAATGCACCACGAGGTAAACGTGGTTCACAAAGGTTTCGACAAACAGCTTTAATTAAACCTGTAAATCGTCGCAAAAAACATGTTATTCTAAAGTTGCAACCGCGACATAAAAGACCTGTACATAACCAGGTCTCCGAGAATATTAAGAATATTCAAAACTCGCCCAGTGAAGAGGTAAAAGTATATCATACCTTTGAAGAGACTCACGAACATATCGAAGAGAAAGAAGAAACTCCTGCAGATAAAAATGAAAAAACGGCCGACAGTCAAACAGCTGAATCCACAGAACAACTAGAATTTCAAGCTGAACAGAAATTTAATGAACCCATAACGGAAGAAACACAAAATTTTCACTCAGAAGAGGAAAAACATAAGAAAGTCAAGGTAAAACATCATCACCACCATCATCATCATAATCATGTTAAAGAAATCATCAAGAAAGTACCGGAACCATATCCAGTGGAGAAGATCGTTCATGTTCCCGTAGAAAAGATTATCGAAAAAATTGTACATGTGCCAAAGCCATATCCTGTTGAGAAAATCATTAAAGTTCCAGTAGAAAAACTAATACATGTACCCAAACCATATTCGGTTGAGAAGATAGTGGAGAAAAAAGTACCCTACCCGGTAGAGAAAATAGTTGAGAAAATTGTTGAGAAAAAGGTACCGTATCCAGTAGAAAAAATCGTTCATGTACCGGTGGAAAAGATTGTCGAGAAAATTGTTCATATTCCCAAACCATATCCGGTTGAAAAAATTGTGGAGAAGATTGTACATGTGCCGGTTGAAAAGATTGTTGAGAAGAAGGTTCCTTACCCAGTGGAAAAAAGAGTACCATATCCAGTTGAAAAAATAGTCCATGTTCCAGTAGAGAAAATAGTAGAAAAAATTGTTCATGTTCCGAAACCGTATCCAGTGGAAAAGATAGTAAATCAAGTTGTTGCCGTACCAAGACCATATCCTGTGGTACAACGTGTTCCTTATCCCGTGGAAGTTAAGGTACCTATTCACGTTGAAAAGAAAGTTCCGGTTTATATACAGTCAAAAGACGCAAGTGAGAAACACGTCGATGACGACTTTGCAGATCATGAACATAAAGGTTACGAGCACAACCACGAAATAGAGCATTACAATCATCATGCTCATGACTTGTCTGTTTTTCCATCAAATCACAAGCCCAGAGTGACCAGTCATCAAAAAAATGAACCCCAAAAACAATCATCAGCTATACGCGCGGAATTGTTACAGCAACAAATTCATAATTTTGGTTACAAAAAACAACAAGAACAACAGCAGCAGCAACAATTGCAAAACCAACAAATTCAACATCAACAGCAGCAGAAAATTCAGCAACAACAACAAGAAATTAAACAGTTGCAACACCAACAGCAGCAACAACATCAACAAATACATCATCAACAGCAACAACTACAGCAAGAACAACAGCATCATCATCAAGTACAACATCAATTGCAGCAACAACAGAGTTCTTTATCGGTATCTCATGAACTCTGCCACCAAGAAAGCCGCAACCAAGAAGTGGCAGTTCCGCCCAAAACAAATCCAAAATTCCAAATAAATGTTCCAGATGTTGAACCTGCTGCTAGCGAGACAGTATCTGTATCGGTACCGTATTCGGATATGCAAACGCAAGCGTCGACCAATTCCTACCAAGTTGTGTCGCCGTTACAACCAATTGCGTTGCCTCTTCAGTTCTTCCAATATCATCATATGCCCTTTCAACAACCACTCGGTTTCTCTTTAGCAGCGCCTGACAATTAAGCCTTCAGAATAATGAACATTCATTATAGACTTCATATGTCCGTCGAAGTTTTTAGTTTAAATAACTTTTAATTTAAGTATTATTTAAGTATATGTATCTGAAATAGTGTAAATTTCTTAATTCATATTTCATATTCAAAATATATCACTGTCATGGGTATATTGAAATATAAAAAAATATTGTTTTTATTTAGTAAAAAAATAAAAAAACATTTTTTAGAAGCTCCTTTTAAAAAATGTTTTATTTAGAAAATGTTTTATTATAATTTATATATATTAGGAGTCAAATCCTAAAATAGACTGGCCAGAGAAAGTGCAGCTGCCGTTTCCAAAATTGGGAAGGTGCCGATTGAAATTGCTGTAAAAACAGGCTCCGACAAGGACTCTAAAACACCTACTACGGTACCCAAAGCATCATTAGCAGTTACTGGTAATGTTGAGGAGTCAAATCCTAAAATCAAGGAGGAAATCACTCGCCAGAAGACAGTACGGCAGTGCTTTTCAAAATTGGGAAGGTGGCGATTAAAAAGGCTCCTATTTCAAGATAAGGAAACCGCAGTGCCATCAATAGTACCGGCTGCATCAATGGCCACTTCTGTCTACCCGGATGAGTCAAGTCTAAAGAGCGAGGAGGTGAAAACCAACTCGCTGGAAGACAGTTTAATGGATGACCATGAATGAGGTTATCCAAATAAACCTCCATCGGAGCGAGACGGCTACCAACGCTATAAAATTAACACAGGTAAAATACATATAGCTTTAATCCAGGAACAAATCCAGGATTAAATCGCGTAAATTTCCAACTTTTCTACGCTGATACGGGGTCTCGACCGAGAACATGTATCTTATGTCACAAGAACTTATGTTTCCTCCTCTCAAAAGGATTATCCACATCGGATACAGCGGTACTGAAGCAAGGTCGTGGAAACATATATCTTCTATCCGTTTACCTGCGTGAAATGGGGTCTTAGTCCTACTATGATAAATTGGCTTTATAAAAGTGTAATTATAACAATTCTAGCTTATGATTCAATAATCGGGTGGACTGCTTTGGATAAAAAATGTAACATCAAACTACAGGCAGTTCAGCGTACATGCTGCTTGGGTATAAGTGTGTACTACTTCAACCTAGGCTCTGGAAACGTTGCTAGATATTCCACCGGCGCTTACAGCCGAACGGCTCATTACTTTAGGCAAACTGGCCAAAAGCGATTCAATGTCGGACGTGCGTGATCGCATACCAGATACAGATTATGTAGGAAACTTTGAAAACTTTGGACAGAGTGGGACTGGGGTTCTATATTGAAGAAACAGAAATATACCACCGTTTACCTAATCATAACACAAGCTTCCAGGCAGAAGTCCAAGTAATAACAGAATACGTAAATTGGATTAGAATAAATATGGCGCCCACAGCCCTTTATATATTTACCGACAGCCAGAAGGCAATTAGGGCGATATTAGGTGATAGAATTAAATCTAAGACCATATTGGATTGTAAGAAAGCTTTAACTGAATACTCTCCCAGAGGTGAGGTTTACATCATATGGGTACCAGGCCACTCGGGAATAGTCGGCAACGAAAGGGCGAATGTAATAGCTTTAAAGGGAAGGGAGCTCGATGTAGTTAACCTGACAAACGCAAAACCATTCGACGCAACAAAAGAATTAAAAATATGGATGAGAGAATCCCATAAGGCCTCTTGGAATAATGAAACGGTGGGTAGAACCACAAAGATTCTATGGGGTGACCCTGATGAGAGCAAGACGAGAAATCTCCTCAAAATGAGCAAGTCTGATGTTAGTATGATGGTACGTATTCTGAGTGGACACACAGGATTACGTACACATCTATACAAAATTGGACGTGCGGATTCAGACGAATGTAGAGCATGTGGAAAGGACAGTGAAACTCTGGAGCACTTTCTTTGCCACTGTCAGGAATTCGTCAAAGTTAGACTAAGACTGATTGGAAGATTCCTAGGAATTACGTCCGGGAAACTGAGTTACTGAACATTGAAAAATAATTTATTCAGTGAATTTTTTTTTCATGAAAAGGAGCTCACAACGAGCCCGATAGTGGCCTAGGTGTATTTCTTCGGATTTCATGTAGTATACATACTCCTATCAACCTAACCTAGTAACTCCATCAAATAAACATGAAAGATGTTATTTTGCAAACTCTTCAAGATTTTTTTAGAAATTCGCGCTAAATTTAGCATTAGATGTATTTTCTTATCAAAATAATTACCACATTAAATAACAAGTAAGAAATTATAGTCGGGCGAGGCCGACCATATAATACCCTACACCTTTGACAAAAATATAATGTGATTTAGTTGCCATAATAAAGCATTTAAGTTGAATTGTACCTTACCTTAGATATATATACTTAAGCCGTTTATTGTTGAATAAAATTGTGGACGTTTAAGTGAAATTTTGATGGGGGCTTTTTATAGGGGCTAGGGTTATATGAGAACCTATTATTATGGAATTCGTGGGGGTCATCAAGTCTTGTATACAAATTGGTTTTTGCAGCTTTTTGTCGAGATATGAGTATATTAAACATAATTATGAACCTAAAAGCCCTATTCGGTGGTTCAGTTGTATGGGGGCTAGGTGAAATAATGGACCGATGTAAACCATTTTCAACAGGCTTCATCTACGGTATCATAAAAGATCATGTGCCAAATTTCATTGAACTATCTCCAAAATTGCGACCTGTAGTTTGATTACAAGTTTTAAAAGCCCTATTCGAGGGGTTCAGTTGTATGGGGGCTAGGTGAAATAATGGACCGATGTAAACCATTTTCAACAGGCTTCATCTACGGTACCATAAAAGATCATGTGCCAAATTTCATTGAATTATCTCCAAAATTGCGACCTGTAGTTTGATTACTAATTTTAAAAGCCCTATTCGGGGGTGCAGTTGTATGGGGGCTAGGTGAAATAATGGACCGATGTAAACCATTTTCAACAGGCTTCATCTACGGCACCATAAAAGATCATGTGCCAAATTTCATTGAATTATCTCCAAAATTGCGACCTGTAGTTTGATTACTAATTTTAAAAGCCCTATTCGGGGGTGCAGTTGTATGGGGGCTAGGTGAAATAATGGACCGATGTTAACCATTTTCAATAAGCTTCGTCTACGATACCATAAAAGATCATGTGCCAAATTTCATTTAATTATCTCCAAAATTGCGACCTGTAGTTTGATTACAAGGATTACAAGACCTATTGGGGGGTTCAGTTGTATGGGGGCTAGGTGAAATAATGGACCGATCTTAACCATTTTCAATAGGCTTCGTCCCTGGGACAACAGAAGATCATGTACCAAATTTCGTTGAATTATCATTAAAATTGCGACCTGTAGTTTGATTACAAGGTTTACATGGACGGACGGACGGACGGACGGACAGACAGACGGACGGACAGACGGACGGGCAGACGGACGGACATAGCTAAATCGACTCAGAAAATGATTCTGAGCCGATTGGTATACTTTAAGGTGGGTATAGGACCAATATTATTGTGCGTTACAAACATCAGCACAAATCCAATATACCCTCCCCACTAAAGTGGTGTAGGGTATAATAAAGGATTTGAAGTTGTGGCTTTAGTTTAGGATATGGGGCCTACAAATCAATAACTTTTATTTGCCGAACCATCATTTTTAGAGAACGATGAATTAACAAGTATCATTGAAAAGGATTTTGATTGTTTTGAGGATGATGTATTAGATTATGTAGCAAGATATGATTCAAAAGCTATATACATACATATACCTGATTCTATCTATTTAACATGATACATATCAATCTTTTGAAACAGGTATTTTGTTCAACAACACATTGGTTACTCCTGAATCCATTGTTCAAGTTTTGAATTGTTCGAAATCTGATCTGTCAATAACTCATAGATTGTGTCATAAGTATCTTAATCTAAAGTATTGAATTTATAAAAATTCATGACCGTGTGACTCTTCACGATTAAAATAATCGGATATGCGCTCATTTTCTGATCAAAAATTATACTTTTGTCTGGAGAAAATGGTACCCCGTCCGCGTCTCTTCTTTTATGAGCCCCACTTCTGAGCAGTTCCGACTCATTTTTGTATCTTTTCTGAGTTTATATACTGTTTTATATAGAGTCCTTTTCGAATCATATTTTTGTACCAATCAAGTTTTTTTGTTCCAATCATCCATTACACACTCCTAAATACTACCAATAATCGTCAAATGGTGACCATGTCAATAACTTACACTACATATCGGTTCTGAAATTGATTATTGTTCAAAATAGTAAGATTTTTACATTAAATCAGGCTCAATTGGTGGTATGAATACGAATTGAACAATTTTGAACACGGATACATCTTAATTTGTTGCTAGAACAAATAAAATGTCCGATCCATAAAACATGGTTATTGTATCGACTATATTAAGATATGATTGGTAGCATTATTGTATGCTTTGGAAATCGGAGTATTTCGAAAACCTGTTTAAATTAAAGGAAATATATAGAATTATCCAAATTTTAAAGTTTATGTTATAAGTCTTAAGAAATCGGAGTTAAGTTTCGGTTTTTTAAGAACGTACTGTGTTCAAAATAGCCAAATCCATGCACATAACATTAATTTCGAAATAACAACTCTTTTCAAAAGTTAAAAATTCTATTTCCAATGCATCATTTGGAGGGTTCAATGACCACCAGATCCAAAATCCGGTGTCTAAAGTGTAAAAAAATCGTAGAAGTGGGAAAAAACTGTTCTACTAATTAATTCCGGAGCCAATCGGTCCAAATTTCAAGATTTCGGAACTAAAAGTAGATGTTTTCCAAGTTATTGTGTAAAAAAATATTTTATTAAAAAGTAATTATATTAATACAAGTAAAATTTTCATAAATTTTGTTAATATCATTAAACCAAATATATACTGAAATGATCTGTATACTTACTTTTGTGACGTAAATTTTGCACCTTTTTAACTTCAGCTTAAATGAGAACTCAAAGGACCAAA